CCTTCCTCAGCTCATTTCCCAAAACAGCCTTATTACCATACACAGCTATGTATTTCATGTACCAATTAAAATGAAAATCACTAAAAAAAAAAAGTGGCACACGTCTTTAGTCCCAGCACTCAGGAAGCAGAGGCAGGTGGATCTCTTTGAGTTCTAGACCAACCTGGTCTACAAGAGCTAGTTCAGGATAGCCTCCAAAGCCACACAGAAACCCTGCCTCAAAAAAATCAAACAAACAAAACAAAAAACCCAAAACGAAACCAACAAAAAAAATCACCATACAGATCATAGACTATGCATTTTGTATATTCAGAATTTCTTACTATAAAGCACAGAGCTGACATTTATTGACTTAATGATCTAATCTAAGAATTTAAACAAAGCCCAGCAGTGGTGGCACAGGCCTTTAATCCCAGCACACTGGAGGCAGAGGCAGGCAGATCTCTGAGGTCAGCCTGGTCTACAAAGCTACACTGAGAAACCCTGTCTTGAAAAAAAATCAAAAAACAAAAACAAACCATAATATATATAAACAAACACACGGTAGACTAAAAAGCAAATACAGTAAAATTGATTTTTGTTCTTATTTCCTTGCCACTACGAGGGACTGAACCAAACACCTCACACATTGCTCAAGCGCTATAACTACTGAGCTACATCCTCCTTCAGTAAGAGCATGAACTATTGAATCACTTTTTGTTCACATACCAAGATATACTGACTTAACATCTATTATGTGCTGTGACATGGTGTCTATTTGAACTTCCTTACAGTACTATTTTACAGAAAAACCCAAAGATGACAAAGTCAAGTAGCTTGTCTAAAAGTGACATAGTATTTGACAAAAGGAAAAACCCTGAGGTGCTCATATGTTGCTTCTAGAACCTACAAAAACATCGGCACTACACTTACAATATTCAATAACTTCATTTGTAAGTCTGTTGAATTAGTAATTCTAAGTTTTAAATGGCAAGCTATCACAAATATTATTTCTCCCTCTTTGCATGGTTCAAATGGGATTGGCAGCAATCATATAAAAGGTAATTTTCTTTTGACCTTCCAAGTATACCAAAGGACTTTTATCCAGATCTATTTTCTATGTGGAAGTTAGAGTTAATGAAGGCCAGAGTTAGGGAAATGTACTAACAGAACAGAGACTGAAGGCAGCTACAATGAATGACTAACCAGTAAGACAGGTGCTGGGAAAATTGTGTTCAGTCTAACAGTCAGAAGTCTTGACAATGTACACAAAGCTTGGGGCAGAAACTCATTTTTCTAGTCTATAAAAGCTAACTATAAAAGTTACATTGCCTTTGGAGCTTCAAATCCAATACAGAAAATGAACCTTAGGTAATCTGTCTGGTTGTTACTAAGCAATAAAACCATATTCATTGAGATCTAAGATTCAGGACAGTTGGTAATTTGGACCAGCCTTTCCTCCTGGGCTTCCTAGAAAAGGATTCTGTCTCTGATGCTCCCCATGGTGCTTTCTAGTATCGTGAAAGAAACGACACTCCTCAAGAGAATTCTTCTCCAGGAGACAAACTTTTCTTTAGCAATAGGATCATTATTCCTTTGCTTTTTAAGACACATTTAAATGACATTATTAAAAAACTTCCACTTATTTAGACATCTGGGAAGGATGTGAAAGCTGTACGTCAAAACTTCAGGCTACAGGAACCTTGCAAGACAGAACAAGATTTTACTTTTTGCTATAAAGTATTATCCCGATATTATTAGCAAAAATCAGAACGTATCATATTATCCAAGGAGGCTTAACACTTGCTCCTGAAAGCTTCATTATTTGTTCACAATTTCCAAGTTTTGAGAAAGATCATGTTCTGCTGAAGAAACAGAAAAAGTGAAGCAGCCAGAAAAATATTTTGTGTACTGAGGCTGAGCAACTTCACATGCCTTAAGATTCAGTTTATCTCAGAGAGCCACACCCACCCCATTTCACAACCTACTCACCCAAATTGAAGGTACTCGGTACTGTTTATTTAAAGAGTTTTGGTTTGCTAAGTGAAAAACGTTTTTACATAAGAGACTCCCAAGGGTCATCTAATATTAACACCCTCAAATTTCCATTCCATTAAAAACTATCTAGACTAGTTAAGAGTAAAAACACATCAATAAAATCATTCGTTATAAATCAAAAAATGTCTGTCAAAAAGGTACTAAGTTGGGCCAGGTATTATGGTTAATGCCTGTAACCAAGCCATTCAGAGGTTGAGGCCAGAGAACTTTAAGTTAGGACTGGCCTGAGCTACATATGCAATGAGTTTAAAATCAGCCTGGGATACAGAATAAGATTACTGCACCCTTGAGAATCCAAAAGCCATCTCAAGAATTTTATTAGCAGCACTTAAACAAGCCATACATAGCAGGTAATTGACAAATAAATACTGATCAGATAAGTATTTGTAACACACCACTGCTTTGCTATACATTAGACTTGAATCTCTGGCAGTACTTTATTAAAAATGACTGGCTCCAAAGACTATGGAGACTAACTCCACTCTTTCTGCTAAATGTCACACCTGGCTCTACTTCTGTGTGTACATTTATGAGAAAGTCAATTCCACATTATAAAGCACCATAGGATATTTCATTCTATATAAAGCAACAAATCTGAACATTTTATATCAGAATTCCTGGGAAGGCACTTCAGTTTTTAAAAGGAGGCACATTTCTAAACTGCAGGTTCCTTAATACTGTCTTCACCATTTAAAATCTTGACATTCCACAATGACATACTGTTCACAAATAAAGAATGGCAAGGGGCACTACCCCTACCTAACAAATGAATTTGGGTAGAATAAACTTGCCTTTTAAGTAGGTGACATGAGAAATACATGGAGCAAGAGCAAAGACAGTATAACTGGAGTGATGATTTTAAGAAAAAAAGTCAGTGAATTCAAATTTCCACATTAAAACAGCCTTACGTGTATTTTTGATAACAAATGAAACACTCTCATATGCTCTGCTGTTTTCTAAGGGTTATCAATAAGATTTGAGGATTATTTTGTTCAAATAATACAGATGACAGAGAGCATTTGCCAGGTTATCTCCTGTAAGATTTCACTTTTTATAGATCTGGAAGTTATAGGACAATATTCTCCAAATCTAGAAGTTGAACCTTGGAGAGAAGACAAACTTCCAAACTCAGGGGCTGGAGAGCTGGCTCATCATCTATGAGCATTGGCTGCTCTGGCAGAGGGCCCGGATTCTGTTCCTAGCACCTACTAGTTGCTCATAATCATTTTCAACTCCAGTTCCAGGGGACCTGATGTCCTCTTCTGAACTCCATGGGCACCAGGCACATACATGTGGTGCAGGCAAAACACTCATGCACACAAAGTGAAATAAATGTAACCCTTTTTAAAAATTATAAATAAAAAGGTCCAGACTGGGTAAACATATGGCAGAGTGATAGAGCACTCGCCTAGTATATATGTATATATGTGTGACTCCTCTAGGCCAATGTCAGGAACCATGCTCCCCACCACCACAAGAATAAAACTGTAAATGTTTGACTACAATGACTTTTGTAATGTTAAATAACACTGCTGGCATGCTAAGTTCTACTAACTCAATCAGTCTCATACCTAAGAGGAATAATCCAGGAAAATGACCCATATCTGAAAGACTTTAGAACAAGCTACATTTCTCACTGCTCTGTGTCAGTGTTTTATATAGCTATGCAAAGTAATCTTAAGAAGGCACGCAAAACACTAGCAATCATGATCTCCTTTCTTACCAACCAAAAGACAGTCTTCAGAATGATATTCTCCCTTAAAAAAAATCAGTGCTAAGGATCATTCATTAAACAAACTCACCATAAAAAAATGATAATAAAAAAAACAATCAATCTTTACTGCAAATCTTAACTGAAATTGTCTTGGGAGCGGGGGAAGAGGGTATCTACTACTTTCTACTCATACAATGGAACCGGAGTATACTCAAGTTGGGGCTTGTGAACTTTTGAGTGTTAACAGTTTCACACAGCGAGGACACTAGGCAATCTCAAATGTTATGGACATACAGGCCTGGTGTTAATCTAAAATGTGCCTTCCACATAAATTATAGAAGGTGACCCCAACCTTTCTGCTAGTAGTTTCAGATCTCGCTAAATGGCAAATGTGTGACTGAGAATGGAAACTGCCTCACTGGGGCAGAGGCTCACAGAGGCAAGGTCCAAGGTTTAACCCTCACACAGAGGAACAAAGTAAATGGCCTCATGAAGTATACAATTACACCAATCTCTCATGCTTCCTTGCTGTTTATCTTCTTCTCCAGTGTATATCATAACCAAGTCTACAACACTGAAGCTCACATATTCTGAAGGCACACAAAGCACTCTCAGCGAAATCCATATATCTACAAGACTAATTACTACATAATCATGACAAAGAACAATATTGGTCCTATTACTATCCTTGAAAATGTCTGACGTTGCTCTTCCAAAAAAGAGCTGAGTAACAGAGACAGAGAAAACTTACAATCCACATTAAGAATGCTTATCGAAAACACTTGATGATTGGAAAATAAGACGACGTGGACATCTTTCCAACCCTACACTCTTTATAAGGTTTGTACATAAAACAGCTTCTATAGATACCTAAAGTTGGAGCCCTTCCCACACCATTAGCTGATATCAGAAAATAATATCCCACAAATTGAAGTTACTATGCTTCCTAATTATGCAAACAGGAATATAAGTAGCCACACCATTGACAGGCTACACTTCCAAATATTTAGATTGCTTAAAGTCTTTAAAATTCTACAAACTCATAGTGATTTAGAACTTAATTTATCAAAATAAATACCACTGACACTCAATGGACATCTTCACTTAAGGCCTTTGTCACAAATGAGAATCTTTATTGTTCTGAAATAAATGTTAAAAACATAACTTGAAACAAAAACGTCAATATTCAGTCTCAGAAGACGTGTGGCTCAGTGCCCATCACATGTAACAAGAAAACTTCCTTTAAAAAAAAGGAAAAAAGTACTATGAGAAGTCTTTCGTGAGGGAAAATGCACCCTTGTATGTCCTCCTTCTTTCTGTATTTTCTTCACAAGATTTGCATTTTCTTCACAACAGTTCTTGCTATGATGTTTGACGGATTTTTTGCCACTCAACAAATTCATCAAGTAGAACAGGCCCTAGACAGAAGAAACAGGTTGTTATAGTTCAGCAGACTCATCCCTCAAACAAGCTCTGAGGGGGCAAGGGCCCACCTGGCCTGTCCTTCATCTGCTGCTTTCTGTTTCCTTTCCCCAGGTTATTTCCTTCTCTAGGAGTGGTTCATGAACTCACTCCCCTGTAAATAACTGAGACAAAGCTAACCTTTCCCCACAGCAGGCATTTAAACACTCAAAACATGTTTCTACTACATCAACAAGTGGAGCACTTGTTAATAAGGCAGAGTGGCCACGTAAGACTGACTTTATTCTAAAAATGAGACACAGCAAAAAGAATAGCATAAAGCAAATGCCTACTACCTGACTGACTGCTATTCTAAAAAAGAAGTTTTATAATGTAGAGGTTCCAAATGTTTACCAACAGAAGCCAAGTGGGCAATTTAAATGAGGTTTCAGTATTTGTGATGTATGGAATTCAGTATTTCAAAATGTATGGAAAGTATGACCACGAAGAGTTATGCTTGTCGTGTTTTTCTCAAAACATAAAACCTCTGGGTGTTCTTTTCTCTCTTGCTTTTAGCAGACCATACAAAAACAGCTGGGCAGGCAAAGCAGTAAATGGCAATGTTGGAATACTGCGTGGACTGCCAAACTGGAGAGCAAGTTCAACACAAGCCACTACTTGGTTCCAACCTCTGAAACCTACAAAGGAATACAGGTGCAACGTGTCAGATTTTCTGATAGTTCAAATAAATTTACAAGTTTATTTTATATCAAACCTCTCAGTTTTACATGTTGGCTCAACATACACAGATATACACATCTGCAGGCTCTATGTAGCTCTTGGGCTGTTAGCCTACTGCAGAAAATGAGTACTTCTTCAAACAAGAATTAAACTCTATGCGATCCTGTAGGGAAAAAACACTACATACTCGAGGCAGGCTATCTCTTTGGTAGTATCTCGTCTCCTTTGCGTCAAGTGTGCTATGTCCATTTTTGTTATAAAGCAAGGCACTTTTCCACGTATCCCATATGAACACTGAAACACTACAGTACTCCAAATGATGGTAGAGATTTAAGTATATAAGAGTTCTACAGAATTAAGTTGGCTAATTTGTTGTGCCTTTGTCCTTTTAAATGCATGACACTTTTCTTCTACTGAAAAGGCAAATAAAGTAGGATTTTGGGTGCTAGGTTGAGAAATGATCATTTAACTGTAACGTCTACTCACTTATTCACTAGCATAGATTTTACAACATTGCTGAAGCTAGATTCTGCCTCTCCCATATCCTGATTAAATAATGAGTGACTGTTACACTAGTTTAAATTGTCTGTTAATGCTTTAGAATGCACAAACTCGTTTAACATTTTAAGAATTTTATTTTCATAGGAATGCATGATATACTTACAAGCACCATCTTCATCGTAGTTACTAAGATCGGCATGAACTGTTCTGCTGAATTCTAATACATTGTACCACTGATCTTTGTTCATAACACGATACTTTGATTGCTGTGGAAAATGATATAAAAATTTGGACTACAGAACCAACATTCTTATTGGGACTTGAATTTAGTGACTCTCATTGTCCATTTATTTAGCCTTTTCTAAAACATTTCTTCCTTTCTTAATTAGGTGTTGTTCTTGACTCATTTATGTTATATATTTTCTTTTCAGAAAGACAGTAAGACTGAGATTTACATGTGTGTACACCCATGTGGTTCTCCGCTAGAACATTCAGTTGGTCTGACAGTGTGCTTTCTACTATACGGAATTTATCTGTGTGCATCGGCTACATTTTGAAGAGGGCATCCACAGCAATAGTGGGAACAGTATGAGCTTGGATCCAAATCATAATGTGCTCTTGGGAAAGTCACTTCTATGGCAGAGAGGTTGGTGGGCAGGTGCTCAGGGTTCCCTCCCCAGCAGGACAACTAGGTATGGTGACACACACCTGTGATTCCAGCACTTGGGAAGCAGAGGTAGGATGACCACAAGTTCAAGGATGACCTGGGCCATCTAGCAATACTCTTTGTCAATGTCTCCATCAAAACGCAAACCATCTCCTCCCCCCCCAAAACAGAACCCAACCACTACCACCAACAAAAATAAAAACCCAATACTAAGCTAATCCCACCCCCCATTCCTCAGCTACTAAATGGTAAAACTTGTTTGAACGTATCTCATTGTTTTCAGAGACCCACAGAAGTTAATATTTTTGTATTTAGCTAAATGCATTTTTGACCGACTAACAGGAGGTAGATATGCATCATTAATCAAAAATGTCAACTTTTACTGGTCACAAAAATTTGCCAATGTACAAAACTCATTTAGCCAGGTTTTAAATAAAAGTGCTCTGGAAAAGTGACTGTGACACGTAAACTGTTTGACAAGATGTTATTTCCAATGGAAAAGGCAGGTCTATCTAAGAAATGGTTAGAAATGTGCCCCCAAAACTAAGGTCGAAAAGTTTAAAAATAAACAAATAAACAAAATCACACAGAGCGGTCCGTGGATAAGCAAGTGTCTTGGGGCTGGCAGGCGCAGTACAGCTCTCAGAGGATTTACTCTGTGACTCAGCACATGCTGCGTAGTCAGCAGCGCAGTGGATGACTGTTACTGCCATGCTCAGATCCATGGATGCAAATATTAACACTTTATTTCTTAATACTGAGTCAAGTTAGAAAACAGAAGGTTTATTGCTAACGTAAGTCCTACTGTGTATGTTTCTACTTAAGACTAGGGGATGGGGAGGGAAATAAAGAAGAAATTGGTTTAGAAGCTTGAGATGTATGTATTAGCATCAATTTTCTCTCACCAAAACCTCGAGAAATTAGGTTTATATGAAATGTCTATGCTAAAATAGTTTTCTTGGGACTCCTCCCAGGTAGAATGAAAATCCCTTAAAATGCAAAGCATGTGTTCTATCACCAAATTACATTCTAGTTCCCAAGTATATTGTGTACAGAATATATAAATACCACAAAATTATGTCTAAAACTAACAATAATGATGTACATATTTTAGTAGATTTTTTTAATTACTCATATAGAATTTTTTAAAGTACAGAATCTGTTCCTTAAAAATGTATTTTCAAACATTTTAAAATACCCATACATACCTCCAGGTACTGATAAAATACTGAAAAGAGTGGCCACGTTCTCCCAAGCAGCAGCGCTAACATAGACTTAGCAGTATCAATATCAAGGCTTCTCTGATCTTTATCCTACAATATTAGTGAAAAAATATAAGTACGCTCATAAAAATCAAAACACTTAGGATCTGAAGGGGAAGCTGTACTTACCCTTGCAAAATCAAAGGCATATCTGTAGATATTCTTAAACGATGAGATGTCATTCAGCTGTGAGCGCAGAAAATCAAATCTGCTCTGTAACTTTTCTGTGCAGTCACACCTTAAAGAGTGGTCAGAAGGAAAGCATTCTAAGACCAAGTGCATATAGGAACATTCTTTAGCTCTGGCACTTTCAGTAGGACAAGCTCAACATATTTTAAACTACCAATGCAATAATAAAGAGAGAAAACTTGACAGAATACACTACAGTAACTTCAGAAAAAATAAACATCTCAATCAAAAATCCCAAGCAAATCACTAACATGTCTTGTTGTGAGAGTCAGAATGCCTGCCTACTGGGCTGCAGACCCCATTTTTAATCCAAGTACTGCCTTTTCTCAAGGGCTGAGCAATGATACAAACAAGTTGCCTAATTTCTAAAGATGAAGACACAATGGAATACTCAAAAGTCTTGCTGGTTTTCTAATGCTGCTCAACTCCACTTCTGGGGTTTCTGGTCACATCCCATACCCTTACTGTTCTCTAGGAGTTTTCATTTACCACTTTCAAAAGTCACAGCTATACTTCAGGACACTGTATTTCTTCTATTGGAAAGGACGCAAAGCAGAATCCAAGACCTAACTCAAACTTGCCATCTACATGAAATCATCTGACTTCCCTTGATTAAAGAGGGCATATAATCTATTGTAACCACTCAAACCGAATTTCAGAATTCATGATGAGACACTTGATCTTCTAAAATTTCACCAGTATTTTCATTATCTTAAGTCAGCAACATGAGGTCTATGTAATATGGGTCATAATTTTATTTAGCTGAAAAGATTTTGGTGTATCACTATTGCTAATTAAAATCTTTAGTATCTATAAAATGCCATCTTGTTATCTGTTTGACATACTGATAGGGCCTTTAAAACAATACTCCTTGCCAGCTTTCATAACAATCTTATAGTATCAGAAAATGAATTGAGGATTACTTAAAAACTATTTGGTGAAAATTTTTTAAATATTACAATTAACATTTGTCCAAATTACATAGAAGACAGACTTGTAACTACTTAAGATTCAAATTTTGGCCAAATTTTCTGTTTCTTTGTAACCTCTTTTTACTATTTAAATTTTTCTGATCCTTCCATTACTTAATATAAAATCTGATTTAAGAGGACATTATAAGGATGGGAGATGTGAGTATGGATTACATACATGTATGACATTGTCAAAGAACAATTTTAAGTAATAAAAAAATATGCCAAAAAAAAAAAGCCAGGTGTTGGTGGCGCACACCTTTAATCGGGAAGCAGAGGCAGGTGGATCTCTGAGAGTTCGAGGCTAGCCTGGTCTACAGAGTAAGTGCCAGGATAGGCTCCAAAGCGACACAGAGAAACCCTGTCTCGAAAAACCGGGAAAAAAATCTGATGCTGGTTAAAATTATGTACATTTTTTAATGTATGTTAGTATCACGCTTTTGTTTTTATTGAACTTTTAGTTGTTTTCTTTCCCAATATGGTCAGAATTTAAGTCATTTAACATAGCATTTGAGACTGAAGATTTCCTTTTCTGTACAATTTCCTTCCATGTGACCACAAATTTTGTTAAGAATTTACTGCTTGTATTACTCAATTCTGAGTGCTAACTTTCAAAAGATGTGTTTCACGGGAGGCAGTGATAAACTTCTCCAAACAGGGTTAAGAGAGAAGAAAAGACCCAAAGAAAGCACATGTGTTTGGGCCTGAATGGCTACTGGGCAGTAACCCAAACAGGATGAGAGAACAGTGGGTCCTGAAACTTACAGAAAATCCACTGCCAATTTCAGCAACACTGAGGAGAGTGCCTTTCTCTCTTCTGCTAAGATTAACTAAAGAACATGGATTATAGAAAACCTAAGAAGATTCTGAATAAAGGCAGGTGTGGTGGCACTCATGTGTGTAATCCCAACATTTGAGAAGATGAGGCAGGAGGATTCTATGTTCAAGGCCAATCTAGGTTTATTGTAGCAATATGTGAAATTCTGGAAGGGAAAGACTTGGAAGAACATGTGGTGGTAAGCCCACTCAGTTTCTTTTTGCCTCAGACATCCTTGAAGCTGCGGGTGATAGTTGAGTGTGGTGGCAAGTGCCTAGTAATCCCAGCTCTGAGGAGGAGGCAGAGGCAGAAACAGAACCACTAGGGCTTGGGTACAGATGATGGCTCAGTGAATCAAGTGCTTGTGACCAAAGTACCATGACAGGCAGATGCTGACTGAGCTGTTTTCAACTGAGGGACCCTGTCTCTACACTGACAAACACACACACACACACACACACACACACATATATGTTCAACTTCAAGTGTGCCCACACATAAATACATACCACACAGAGAAAGAGACAGAAGAAAAGGACTTTAAAAAGGCAACAATGACGCCTAATGGCACGCTGCTATACTCCTAGATCAGCACCCTGTGTAGCCATCATCAGAGAAGCTTCCTCCTCTGCAGACGGGAACCCACAGCCAGACATTACAACACAGAGGGAGAGACTCCAGAACACAGTTCTAGATGGGTCGTCTCCATCAGATCCCTCCCCTCAGAGCTCTAGGAACCCGGTAGAAGAGGAGGCAGAAAGAGTGCATATAAGAGCCAGAGGAGGTGGAGCAAACCCGGAGAACAAGGCTCTCGAGATCAGCCTGAGCAACGCTCATACGAACTCACAGTCTGCACCGGGTCCTCTGCACGTACACTACAGCTTTCAGTTTAGTACTTTTATGGGACTCCTGAATTTGTGAATGAGTAGGTCTGATTCTTCAGCAAATCCTACTGGTATGCACCACCACAACTGGCTAGTAGGTCTGATTCTTATGTCTTCTCTTGGGGCTGTTTTATTTTTCTGTTTGCTTGGCTTGCCCAACTTTGATATGATGGTTTTTGTTTTATCTTATTATATTTTATTTGGTTAAAAAATAAAACAATTTTCTTTGTGGGGAAAATGCCGGGGGTATATTCAGTGATCCAGAACTGGTCTAGCAATGCCCCAGGCTCAGAAAGACTACTATTCCAGTCAAGTATCACCAAATATAGTGGCCCAACTCCTAGCAAGGGCAGTAGAGACTGAGTTAGTGTCCTAATGTGTCTATGTTTGGCAAAACACAATAAGACCAATTCTTCAAATCCTACAGTGCCATAGAAGCTACACTAGAACACGGATGTGTGCTCACTTTAGGGAATAACAAGCAGCCAAGCTTCCTCTGGCCAAGAGTGCTGTCAAGTTTCCTTGATGATGAGTTAAGGCCTTTACCAACACGCAGTAGTAATGAGAACACAACTGCAATAGCTCAGTGACTTTACGTGTGTGAAAGAGTAGCAAGGCACTCCTACCAGTTCCTGACAAAGTGTCGGGATGCTGGGCTGAGCCTAAACTCTTATTCCTGCTCAGGAGTATCACAACACATCCCTCCTTGAGGATAGAATGGTAGCTTTAATTTCTCTTCGCACCTGCCAGTAAACAGCAGACCCTCTCCTCCTGGAGTGGTGGTACAGTACGCTAATTAAAAAAAAAAAAAGTATTGAGTAAGATCCAAGGTCCATGGCATAATGACCAGATTGTCCAGTTTCAATAGAAAGATCACTTACCAAGATAAGAAGGAAGATTTCAAAAGGAATGTTTAGACATATCTCTCATTTTAAAGCAGCTGTCATAAAGATGCTTCAATGGTTATGGCTAACTTACTAAAATAAAACTGCAAAAGAGGGAAGAAATCTACAAAAAGAAATGTAAAGTGTAATGAAAAACAAAGTGGAAATGCTTGGACTGTAAAATATGTCCTCACATTTCAATAGCATGTGTTGTAAACAGACCAATTAGAAGATATTTTCTCCCTGGCTTCATAAACGCAATTCAACCGGATACACGGTTTTGAATAAACTTCAAAAATCAGTACAACTATGCATAAGGCAAAGACAGAGGGGAGAGTAAAGGGTGAATATGAGCAAAGCACAATATATATGTTATGAAAATATAGTGAAACCATTATTTTATATGGTAAATTAGAAAAAATTTAAGAATGACAAAGTAAGAGATTTGAAAATGACCTTTCACAGAAAATGGTCAAAAGAAAGCAATAGTGCTGTATTTGTATCAACTAATGAAACCTCAAAGAAAATGATCAGAACAGAGAGGATAATTGTGTAATGTAAGAGGTCAACCCATCAAGATACAGCAATCCTAAGCAATCCAAGACGTACCAAACAACAAAGCTGTAAAATACACCATGAAAATATGATAGGGCTTTTTACACTGTACTGTGTGTGTCAGCCACATAGCACCGAGAGCTGTATTCACAACAAAGTCCCAGGCAATTGAGTATCCATTTCCTGAGTTTGTCATCAGTCCCTATCTGGGAACAATTTAATGTGATTTCAGAAGAACTTAAAATATATCTTGTTATTGATATGCAGATCTAGGGGGACCAGGAGTATGATATGGGTGTCCTTGAAATACAGGTCAAATAGATTGCAGATGTACAATCTGCACAGTGATCCCTCTCATCATTTCTGGCCTTGGATTATTTTCTGTAATTTACAGATGAGTTAGAGTATGCCTTTTCAAAATAAGCCTTTACATTTTATTGAGCACTTAATCATTTTTCATGAAAATTACTTGTTTACACTTAGTATGTTATACTGCCATACATGGGATCACTTTTTTTGTGAGCCTAACTTGGTCATGCCTAGTTCCTTACAATATGTAAAAATAAGAAGAATCTATTCTGACTACCCATTAGAAATTACTCTCTCAGTAGCTGATGTCAAACAGCACAAAAATACTAAGTGAAACAGTAAGCTCTAGTGGAAGCTACAAATCCATTCAACCTGTACCATGAGAACACATTTCATCTCACACATCACTAAAATGATGATTGGAAACTTCATCTCCACATTAATCAGCTGAAAGTGCCCAGTGGGCACTCCATACTCAGTTACATTTACTCCCTTCTGTGTTGTGACTTAAGTCAGGGACATATCTTTTATAGGCTTGTAGCTTCAAAATGTTTTCACATTTTTTAGGATACACCCCAAAATGCAGACTCCTAAATAAGACTTGCTACTTAAGGAAGCAAAAGGTTAAA